GGCCGATGGACTGGCCAGCCTTTCTCTCCACCTGATCCTGAGGATCCGCCGAAAGTCGGACCTCCGCGCTCTAATCTCGTGGCCAGCGGGTGCCTCCCCATGGAACGTCGCTCCGCGCGCCAGTGATACACTGACGCGTGGAGCTCCGCTACCAAGTCCCACGGAGGAGACCCCGCCAGCAGACCCGCCGCTTCCCCGGATATGGTGCGACCGTGCACAAGTCCTGCCACATCCCGACCTCCGTGTCAACGTCGCATGTGGCATTACAAGTCAGCAGATTGGGATAGATTGCGAGAATTCTACGCATCGTACCCATGGAAGCAGTACTGCTTTGCATCAGAAGACGTCGATATCTGTACAGCCGCCGTCACTGAAGACATACTTGCGGGTATGTAATACTTTATTCCAAACTTTCTTGTTGCTTCTGGGGCGAAAAAGCGACCGTGGTTTAATAGGTCTTGCAGACAAGCCAGACAGGCTAAACAAACTGCTTTTCAGGCTTGGACCACGGCTCGTTCTAACAATAACATTGGCGTATCTGATGCGAGGCGGAATTTAAATGCTGCAACCAGGTTTAGTCAGACGGTAATTGCTAGAGCCAAATTCGACTTCGTCAGCAAAATTGGAGAGCAACTTGCTCGACATCCTTCTGGAAGTTGTGCCTTTTGGTCGCTTGCCAAAGCTGCCGAAGGTAACTTTTGTCAGTCGTCCTTACCACCACTACGGAAGCAGGATGATAACTTGGCACTCAGTGCAAAAGAGAAGGCCGATTTGTTGTGCGCTCTTTTTGCCTCAAATTCGACTCTAGACACTAGGGACACCATACCTACTACCATCCCATGGTGTGGTAGCTCTATGCTGGAAATATCCGTAACGCAACGGAGAGTCCGGCGAGAGTTACTGTCTCTTGATGTCAACAAGTCGAATGGGCCAGACGGCATACCGGCATTGGTGTTAAAGAAGTGTGCTCCTGAGTTGTGTCCCGTACTCACGCGCCTCTTCGCGTTTTCAGACTCCTCTGGGCAATTTCCGCAATCATGGAAGACCACCCTTGTGCACCCTGTGCCAAAAAAGGGCGACAGATCAAACCCATCGAACTACAGGCCTATCGCTATTGCATCTCTACTCTCCAAGGTGATGGAGCGTGTAATTAATACACAGCTCCTTGGATACCTAGAAGATCACGATCTATTGAGCGATCGTCAATATGGTTTTCGCCATAATCGCTCAACTGGTGATCTTTTAGCGTATCTCACACACCGCTGGGCTCTTGCCATAGAGAGTAAAGGTGAGGCGTTGGCAGTCGGCCTTGACATAGCGAAGGCATTCGATCGGGTTTGCCATCAAGGTCTGCTATCGAAGTTGCCCTCGTACGGAATACCAGAGGGATTTTGCAAATGGGTCGCTAGTTTTTTGTCTGGCAGATAAATTAAAACCGTGGTAGACGGTGATTTTATTTATTTATTTTTATATAACTTTAATGCACACAGTACAAAAGTAACAGTACATTTGGCGGACTTAACACCATGCGGTATTTTCTACCAGTCAACCATAGGCAGTACAGAGAAAAATTGTTGGCGGTGCAAAAATAATCATAACAAAAAAAAAAAAAACAAGGCATAAAAAATGATATAATAATATTTATACTATTACATTTACAATAATACATAAATATAAACATATATATACATTTACATACATACATATACAAATAAGGAATATATAATATGATATACAAATACATACTCATACACAATACCTAAACACTATATGAATACATACCAAACAATCTGACAGTTAAACCACAGAGAATAAAAAGAAAAATATAAGGTAAAGAGAAACGAGAGAAAAAAAAATAATAATAATAAAAAAACAAACTTACGAATTTAGATAGTAGTCCCACAGTTTACGTTTAAAAGAAAATCTACTCGTGGCAGTCTTGATATTAAGGGGTAAGTCATTCCAAAGTTTCCACCTGAACGGCGAAGGAATAGTGGACGAAACCAGATAGATGAGCTGGGATATGAAGTAAGAATTTTCGAGTTGAGCGAATATTGGTGTTGTCCCCATGGAAATGAAATTTACTATTAATATAATCAGGAGAATTTGGATCGTATAGTACAGAATAGAGAGTACATAACATACGTACATTTCTACGGTAACGGATAGGTAGCCATTTAAGCTGTGAACGAAAAGAAGAAATATGATCAAACTTGCGGAGATTAAAAATGAAGCGGATAGAGTTATTGAGAAGACGATCCAATTTGTTTAAAAGGTCAACATTCATGTCAGAACAGCACACATCAGCATAATCAATAGTGGGAAGGACTAAGGATTGGACAAGGAGAATTTTTGTGCTAATGGGCAGGAAGTTTTTAAACCTATATAAGTTACGCAGCGTCAGCGCAACTTTACGACTAATCTCACTAACACAGTCATTCCAACCGAGAGAACTGTCCATCAGCAAACCAAGATTTTTTACCGATGAACTGTAAGGAATAGGTTGGTTGTTGAAGAGAACTGGAGGTAAAGTGCCATAATGAATTTTGCCAAGTTGTTGTTTGCTACCAAAGATTATCACCTGGCACTTGGTAGGATGAACCGATACTCCAAACTTGTTGGACCATTTGAGTATATGATCGAGATCACTGTTCAGTTGGTCGATGGCCTCATAAAGCTCAGAAGCCAAAGCTTGACAGTAAACCTGAAGATCGTCTACATACAAATGATAAGAGCATTTAAGATTAGTAGTGATAAAATCAATAAAGATGGAGAAAAGTAAGGGAGACAAAATACCGCCTTGAGGGACGCCAGCGACAAGCTCACACCAATCCGACTGTAAGCGACGCGTTCTGTGCCTTAAAAAACAAAATAATTAAAATGATGTTTGTCTATGTTATTGTCTCTGCGTGCGGTGTCGTAGTCGTTTTTAAAAAAAACTTATAACCGGCGCAACGGACGCCACGCAGTCTGCACCTAGATGCGATCGACACCACACGTCTTATCTCTAATTACCATTATAAAATTTATGTGTCGAAAATAAATCCAATTGTTTTAAAAGTCTTCGTTTTGCCATCACCGTGACCTACCATATTTTATACCATACATTTGGTCATTCGGCCGGATTTATGTACCGCACACCACCAGCGCACAAAATGGTAGGCACCCGAAGTACTGCACGCAATAAGGACTGCATGCAGACGGAGCAGCATCCTCGTTCTGAACAGTATCAAGATACGCCACGGCCGAGTAGTATGAAGCCTACAGAAGAGAAGACGGTGACCGTTATGAGCACAAATTCAAAAGCGGGTACTTGTAAAGAAAAAATTATTATTATTATTATTATTACTTTGCTGTGAAAGTGCAGAATTTCGTGGAAGCAACACGAGCCGTCGGCCGCCAGGAATATTTACAAGGTATAGATGCATTTACATTATTATTATCTAAGATGCCAACTGTTCTTGTATCTAAGTGGTCAGATTATAGTTACACACTGTTACTAGAAAGAAAGAAATCTAGATTAGAATTATTATCCGAATTTCTAACTCAAGAAGCAGTAAAGATTTCCACAACATCTAACTTATGCTTAATAAATGCACGCAGCGATAAATATAAAAATTATGATAATAATATAAGTAGCAGATCACATTCTGTTTTAGTACTGAATGATAAGTGTCAATACTGTCGTGTTTCAAGACACGATTTAACAAAATGTACGCAGTTTAAAAAAGCGCTAAGAAAAGATAGATGGCGATACATTAAGCGTAACAATCTTTGTTACAAGTGTTTATTGTCAAGTCATCAGCGCGAAACATGTCCGGCGCCCGCCTGCGATAAAGATGGCTGCGGCGGAGCGCACCACCCGCTTCTGCACTACCCCGTACCCACCGGGTGCAGGACTAGCAACGTCACCGCCGAACAAGTGAACGAATGTCCACCCGTGAGTGAAACTGTGACCCATATTAACGTAAATACATAATCAACAAGTGTTATTAAAAGTAGTGCCGGTAAAAATTCGTGGACCATACGGTGTTATTAATACCACCGCCTTACTTGATGACGGTTCAACTGTGTCGCTCATAACTACCGATCTCGCTAACCGCGCGGGACTGAGCGGCCCCAGCGACACATTACGTATGTGTGGTGCATGGAATAATTCTGTAAATTTATGTAACACTACTGTTGTAACCTTTGATATTTTCTCTGTAAATTCATATGATAATAATGATGTGTATACTGTAAAAGCTCGTACCATAAATAATTTAGATTTGCCTATACAAGATTTATCTACTGTTAATTACAACTTGTATAAAAATTTGCGTAAAATTAAAAATGAATTGTGTGTAAAAAAATTGAAACCTGAAATACTGTTAGGGCAGGATAATTATCATTTGTTAATTCCTTTGCAAACTAGTTTAGGTAATAAGAATGAACCCGTCGCTACACGCACTCCCTTAGGTTGGTGTATACATGGTTGTTTAGGTATACCGGAACATAAACAATCGTCCCACTCGACCCTCCTTATCTCTGAGTTACACAGCTTACCAGTCGACGAGAGCGAGCGCATGTTACGAGACATCCATGACGAGGTGCGACGGTCATTCACCATCGAGTCCATGGGAGTGTCAGGTAAGCCACGGAAGAATGCTGATGATATCCGTGCCCTGACAGTGATGGAGCAAACTGCTACACTCATCAACGGCAGGTGGGAGGTTGGGCTACCATGGAAAGATGAAAGCTGCAGGATGCCAAATAGCTTCCCTAACGCTGTACGCAGATTAAAAGGTATAGAAAAGAAAATTATGTTAAATACGGAATATGGTAACAGGTATGTCGAACGTGTTAATCATTTATTACAAAATTATTATGCCAGAGAGTTGGAAGACTGCAGTGTCTCGCCACGGACATGGTACTTACCACATTTTGGGGTAGACAACCCAAATAAAAAAAACTACGTCTGGTCTTCGATGCCGCAGCTGGCACAAATGGTTTGTCATTAAATGACTATCTACTGAAGGGGCCGGACCTACTTACATCTCTGTTCGGCATTATGGTAAGATTTAGGGAGAACAGAGTAGCGGTGACCGGCGATATAAAAGATATGTTTTTAAGGATAAAGGTAAGAGAAGAAGACCAGAACGCACTCAGATTTCTGTGGAGAAGCAGTCCTGCAGAACATGAAAAAACGTACGTGATGACGTCATTAATATTTGGCGCGAAATGTTCACCGTTCATAGCTCAATTTATTAAGAATAAAAACGCACTAAGGTATGAGTCATCGATGCCAAACGCCGTAGCAGCGATATGTAATCAACATTATATGGATGACTACATAGACAGTTTGCCAGACGAGGCCGCCGCCATAACAATGGTACGTAATATTAGTAAAATTCACAAATCAGGTGGTTTTCATATTTGTAATTGGACTAGCAACAATCCAGCCGTATTGGATAGTATTCCAAAGGAGTCCTTGGGTACTACGGCCGTAAAGTTCAAAATAGATCAAGAATGCGAAGGTGAACGTACGCTCGGATTGATATGGTACCCGCGCGAAGACGAGTTGGGGTTCGATGTGTCTCTCAAGCGCATACCACATGACATAATTAATGGTAAGAATAGACCAACAAAAAGAGTTATGCTCAGAGTCATAATGTCAATATTCGATGTATTTGGATTCTTATCGCCATTTACTATACAAGGTAAAATAATGTTGCAAGATACCTGGCGCGCTGGAATCAGCTGGGACGACTTAGTAACAGATGACATACATAAAAAATGGTGTCAGTGGGTCAATGTACTAACGAGTGAAATAAAAAATATCCGTCTGCCGAGGTGGTATCAAGCAGCGACGAGTGAGTCAGCGATAAAACGTAGCACATCAGTTCAGGTAAACATAACCTCTCTCACCTCTCTTACATCTACAAGCGTAACCGAACGCGCTATCGGCTACGAAACTGGCGTAGCTAATAGCTGCGCTACGACATCCCGCTGCAATGACGTAGTTACAGGCGCTACGAAACAGGTTTTGGCTGGAAGTGAATATAGTAATTTAGAGTTACACTTGTGTTGCGATGCGTCGACTAAAGCAATGTGCGCAGTCGCATACTGGCGATGGTACGTAAATAAAGATATATGTATGTCATTCATAGCTAGCAAGTGCCGTGTCGCGCCCGTGAGTCATACTACCGTGCCGCGTTTGGAATTGCAAGCTGCTTTATTGGCTGCGAGGTTGGCAGATACAATAATCAGAGAACACAAAATAAATCCAGTAAGGCGTTATTTTTGGTGCGACTCTAGTACCGTGCTACACTGGATATGTAATAATACACGTAGCTATAAAACTTACATAGCAAACCGGCTGGGTGAAATAGACGAGCTAAGCCGCCCTGAGGAGTGGCGGTATGTACCTACAAAATTAAATGTTGCTGATCTCGCTACGAGAGAAAATTACGACAATTCTCTTTTTAAAAATGAATGGTTTAGAGGTCCGTCATTCTTATACAGCGATGAGTCATCGTGGCCGGTGAATATAATCGATAAGATAAATGAAATGAGTTTAGAACGAGTAATGATAATACAACATGAAGATTGTAGCTTACCTGTACCTGACCCAGGAAGATTTTCATGCTGGTTACGACTGGTGAGGGCTACGGCATGTATTCTAAAATTTATATACAAGTGTAGAAAGCAGATTGAGACTGTTTGCACAGTCATGAAGAGGGCTGAGCGATTGCTGCTAAAATATACACAAGAACAGTCATTCGGTGATGAAATAGCTGCAATTAAAAATGGTAACTGTTTGTCAAAAGGTAGTAAGTTACTTACGTTATCTCCATTTCTGGATGAGTACGGGATTCTCCGTGTCGGCGGCCGCATAGATGCTGCACCGGATGTTGAACCTGAAATGAAGAGACCTATCATCTTGGACGGGCGTAGTCAGGTATCTCAATTAATTGGTAGATACAACCATGAAGACAGCCCACGGGAACCAGGAAACCGTTGTAAACAACCTGAAACAGAAATATTGGATTATTAGAATACGTCCAACCGTAAAACATGTAGCATATAAATGTATGTTTTGTAGAATAAAAAGAGCAAAACCACAGGTACCGAGAATGGGAGAGCTGCCTGAAGCACGACTGGCTCATCATCAGCGTCCTTTCACACACTGTGGTCTGGATTTGTTTGGACCCAAGGAGGTCACTGTGGGGAGACATAGAGAGAAAAGGTATGGAGTTTTATTTACTTGTTTGACAGTCCGTGGAATCCACTTAGAACTGGTGTCATCACTTACCTCTGACTCCCTCATTATGGCTCTTCGTCGAATGGCAGCAAGACGGGGTTGGCCTCGTATGCTGTACTCTGATAATGGTACAAACTTGAGAGGCGCTGATGCTGAGCTGAAGAAGTCTATAAATGAGGTAGATTTTGATAGGCTAACAAATGAAGCAGCTAATACTGGAGTGGAATGGACCTTCATCCCGCCTGCCAGTCCCCACTGGGGTGGGGCATGGGAGCGACTTATTAGGAGTGTCAAGACTTCACTTAGGGTAATTTTAAAAGAACGTGCACCACGTGAAGAAGTACTCAACACGCTCCTGACGGAAGTTGAGAATATTGTCAACAGTCGACCCTTGTCACATGTATCGGTAGAAGTAGGTAGTAGTGAAGAAGTAGGTAGTACTGTTGGTGTTTTTAATGACTCTGATTTGTACCTACGTAAACAGTGGCGTAAGGCGCAGAGGCTCGCTGAAATGTTTTGGAAGCGGTGGGTCAGAGAAGTGCTTCCTGACCTAATACCTAGGCGTAAATGGCAGTACGACCAGACACCGATACAGGTAGGTGATTTTGTACTTATTGTCGATCCTGATGCACCTCGTAATTTCTGGCTGAAAGCTGTGGTTCAGCAGGTGTTTCCAGGAAGGGATGGTCGAGTTAGGGTCGTAGAATTGAAAACTAAGTCTGGCATTTTGAAACGGCCGGTGATGCGTGTCGTTCGTATTTCGATGGATAATGAGTGCTGAGCCAAGCTCAACACTGGGGTGGGGTGTGTAAGCGATGCATTCTGTGCCTTAAAAAACAAAATAATTAAAATGATGTTTGTCTATGTTATTGTCTCTGCGTGCGGTGTCGTAGTCGTTTTTAAAAAACTTATAACCGGCGCAACGGACGCCACGCAGTCTGTACCTAGATGCGATCGACACCACACGTCTTATCTCTAATTAACATTATAAAATTTATGTGTCGAAAATAAATCCAATTGTTTTAAAAGTCTTCGTTTTTGCCATTACCGTGACCTACCATATTTTATACCATATACCGACAAAGACTGATTAACACGAACTGCCTGCTGACGGCCGCGAAGATAAGATGTAAACCATCAAATAACTGAAGATGAAATCCCAAGATGTAAAAGGATGGCGAGTAAGATATCGTGATCTACGGTGTTGAATGCGTTGGAAAAATCAACTAAAACGAGAACCGTTAGTTTGGATTTTTCCATTCCCTCCCTCACATCCTCAGTAATTTTAAGCAGGGCAGTAGTAGTGCTGTGTCCAGGGCGAAAACCAGATTGAAAAGGGCTTAACAGTTTGTTTTTATAAACAAACTCAGATAACTGTCTGTGGACTACAGCTTCTAGTATTTTAGATAGGAAGGGTAGGATAGAAATGGGTCTAAAGTCCTTGGGAAGTTCTGGGGATGATACTTTAGGAAGAGGAAGTACAAATGCATTTAACCATGATTCGGGAATCTCAGAGGAAAACATGGAAAAGTTGATGATGTGAGTAATGATAGGTAGTAGATGTTCGAGTAAGAGAATAACCATAATCCTACTCACATCATCAATACCGATACAGTTGGATTTAATAGAGGAAATTATCTTGTAGACTTCATCATCAGTTACCGGAGAAAATATAAATTTATCAAGAGTTCGTTTAGGCCATGAAGTTATCTCGGATAAGGTGATTGATTTCTGAAAATCACTGATCGTAGAAACTGTGGAAAAATGCCTGTTCAAATCATTTAATGAAAGAGATGACGTAAAACCATTAGACTGTTTGCACAGCCCAAGTGATTTGAGAAACTTCCAGGTATTGGCCGAGGAAGAATTTTGTATATTCGAGTGGATGTAACGGCGTTTGGCAGCTCTTACCATATAGTTGCAGCGATTGCGCGCAATTTTGAAAGCACCCCAGTTCTCTTCACATCGGTCCCTTCTGTATCTTCCGAATGCACGGTCTCGCTTTCTCATTGCCATGCGTACTCCTCTAGTTATCCAGGGAGCTGGTTGCCTTTTAACTTTAACAAGGTGGGCCGGAGCATGTTTGTCAAAGATTTTGAGTACGGCTTTGTTGAAAACGGATACCTTGTCATTAACAGCAGTGGCAGAAAATACGTATGACCAATCGAAGTCAGTTACGTCCTTACCTAAAATGGATGTATCGATTCTCGCAAAGTTACGCAGACGAACAATAGCAGGTTTAGGCTTAAAGGTTTTAATGTTATAGGAAGTGTAGATAAGGTCGTGTTTGGAAAAACCCGGTGCAGGAAACTGACCATGTTTTAAAACACAATCAGGTGAGGAGACATAAATATGATCAAGCCAAGTGTCCGGAGAATCCCGATTGGTATGGGTAGGACTAAGGGATAACACTTGAAGACCTACCGATCGTGTAATGTCGCGTAGTTTGCGAGATCTATAGGTGTCTTGAAGCAAATCGGTGTTAAAATCACCCATGATAATGTGATGTGTGTACTCTGCCATAATATTATCGAAGATAGACTCAAGGTTTTGGAAGTAGTCAGTGGAAGGAGGACAATATACGACACCGAGAACAATCTTAGTTCCCCTAACATCAACCACCACGAATAAATATTCAGCGCCACCAGAGAAAGAGGAGGCAACTAATGTTTCATAGGCAAACCCACTTCGTAGGTATATAGCCACACCACCACCTCGCTTATCAATACGATCGTTTCTTATTAAAATATATCCGGGTAAACTAACGGAGGTGGAGGGCAGAGTGGGTTTTAACCAGGTTTCAGAAATTAGAATGGCATCCAAACTAATCGAGCTAAAAGTATTCATCAATTCGCTATGATGTTGCGGTAGACTTTGAGCGTTAATGTGACAGATATTCATGCTATGGCGTGTGTTTACAAATTGTGATTGCTCCGATAGCATGGACATTAACGCTGGCGTCCCGCAAGGCTCTGTTCTCTCCCCAACACTGTTTTTGCTGCATATCAATGATCTGTTAACCACAGTTAACCTTCATTGCTATGTGGATGACAGTACTGGGGACGCTAACTACACGGACCGTAGAGCTAATATCCCTCTTTCCCTTGTGGAGGCAAACCGCGAATAGCTTGTGTCCGAAATCGAGAGTACTCTAACCAGAGTCTCCGATTGGGGTGGCTGAACTTAGGTTTATTCAACCCTGCCAAGACACAGGCCTGCACGTTCACCGGTAAGAAAATCCCTTTTGCTGTGGCTCCTCAATTCCAGAACATGTCCGTTACCATCTCTAAAAGTATGAGTTCCGCAGCCACCTGGAAGAAAAGGTAAAGCTGGCGTCCAAGAAGCTCGGTGTTCTCAATAGAGCGAGGTGGTACTTCACTGCGGACCCGAGACTTCTCTTATATAAGTCACAGGTTCGGCCGCACATGGAGTACTGCTCTCATCTTTGGGCGGGAGCACCTGGATACCAGCTCGGTCCTTTTGACTCGGTTCAGAGACGTGCTATGAGAATTGTCGATGATCCCAATCTCTCTGGAGCCACTTAGCTTGAGGCGAGACTTCGCCTCGTTTTGTGTGTTCTATCGATTATACAACGGACTGTGTTCTGAGGAATTGTTCGACATGATGCCGACAGCCACCTTTTACCACCGCACCGCTCGCCATCCACAGGGAATTCATCCCCACACACTGGAACCTAAGTGGTCCCGAACAGTGCGGTTTCAGAGGAGTTTCCTCCCGCGTACACTTAGATTGTGGAATGAACTTCCTGCCGAGGTTTTCCCACGAGACTACATCAAGAAGGGTATATTAAGGTTTCTTAAGGGTCGGCAACGCGCAAGTGATACCCCTGGTGTTTCAGGCGTTCATAGGCTACGGTAACCATTTACCATCACATGGGCCGTATGCTTGATTGCCACCATAGTAGTATAAAAAAAAATATATGATTATTATATTTATCTCATCATTTCATCAAAGTATTGTAAATCATTTTTCATTGTTATATCAACCGCCCGTTCCATTAGCCATTTTGCTCATAATTCAGCTTGTCATCGATTGTAACTCAGCATTGTATCACTAGCATTCCCTAATCTTTCAGATCTATTCGTTCATGTACAACTTTTCACCGCGTATATTTACCGACTATATTTTGTGCATGGACACTATATGCACCACATCTCCCTGCAATAGGAACATGTCATTTGACTAGTGGCCGTTGTCACTTCCATCGAGGTGTCAAATTTTCCCTTGTGATCGTCCTTACTACAATCTTGCAGTGTAACTATCATGTACACCTCGAGCGCTTTATTCATAATATTTCTAAAGTGTCTGTACATGGTATCTGGGTTCTATAAATTAGCACCTCTTCTAATTTTCCATTAATTACAACACATTTTCTAAAATATTCTGCGTATGCAGTTGCTGTAACTTTCTACTTAAATTCCAGACACATAAAATCAGTCCTGAAAGTATTAATAAGTTATTTCAATTTAAACTATTTAGTTCACAGTAGTCAATCCGATTTCTCCAAAGGTCGTTCAGCCACACATATAAGTGCATATAGGTGCTCAGACTAATCTATGGAATCAAATGCCCAGCATTTGATTGCGTTGATCATTACTTATAAAAATGTTAACTTCTATCGTCGTCAAAGACAACGCTTTAAATTTAATTCAATGTTATTTATATGATGAATATCAACCAAATATTTGAAAACAACATCACCGTTATTATTATAAACTTTCAATATCTCTACACCTGTAATTTTGTACAATTCAACATTAAAACACCCTCAC